AATGACATTTAGGTTTTGGAGTTCCAACCAGATCCCTGACTTGAATCTGACAGAAAATTTGTGGAAGGACTTGGGTAATATCCAGCAGATCTTCCAAAAAATTAAGATAAATTGCCAAAATGCAAGCAATAATAACAGTTGATTGCTCCATTGGTCATTTAAATTATTCCACTGATTGACGAAAGAGACGTAAATGATTAAAAAAATGTTTTGCCACAATTTTTAAATCAAATGTAAATAAACACTACTTAATATTTTTTACATTGTTTCTGACAAGATATACCAGTAATACAAGATTCTCTCCAAAGATAAAAAACAACAACTCCATAGTTGACTGGAAATCATTTTTGATCAGTGATATTAATGTGTTAATAAAAAAAAATTTGAAATTTTGGGCTGACTTATTAAATATAGTCCATCAATTGCATAGTTATGGCTATCCTAATTCTAAAAATGATGATGATGGCCTAATATCTGTTCAGTGTAAATTTATGCTTTTCAGATTTATTTGAATGTAAATAGTAAAAAGTCTGGCCCATAACTCAAATGGTATTCCGACTCATTTAAAAGCAAACACCTAAAAACCTCTAAGATTTAGTGACTATAGTAAGCTAGGAAACAGCTTTAGCATGATTAGCAGCTAACAGTTAGCTAGTTGCCATTTTACTAAATACTTTAGTCTAATGTTGTCTGCCTAGTGTAATTGCTATAATCTTGGCATAAAAAGGTTATGATTTCTCTCTTCCACAAAGGGAACAAACCACAACTTAGTCAAAAATACCAATAAACATTATATTATATAGCTATTGCTATAAATTTAGATACGTTTTTTTTTTTTATTACTTGGTATTCTTATTGTCTTATTTTCAAATCAGATCCTGTAATAACTTGTATTATACCGATACCAGTATCAGGCGGGGTCCCGATACAGCACTAAAATGGTGGTATCGGTATCGGTATATACTAACAAATAGGGCACCGATACCATTTTGAGAGCCAAAAGTTTATTCAACTATTGGCACCATTCCAGGTAGGCAATATAAAGTTCTACTGGATTCACTTTGTATTAGTCTTTTTCCTGCATCCCAAAGGTAGGCAGCAGCTTGACAAAGCCATGATGGCAATTATTTTACATCCAAGTAGTATGCAGTTCTTCATATATACACACACACATCAATGTCAAACTGATGGTATCGGCATATCAGTATCGGCCAATACTGCACAGCCAGGTATCGGTATTGGGGCCAAAAAAATGGCATCAGTGCAACACTAGTAATAACCGAGCTGCAGTTTGTTGCCGGGGACATTTTTTTCATACTTTGCTTTATGGAAATGTAGTTTTGTGAAATCTATTAATAATGCTGTTTGCAGGTTGGCTACAGGGGTCATCATGATAATAATTTTATTTATAGTTTAAATGATAAATTAAACTGAATGATGCTTCAAAAAATTGGTGAATTGCAATGATTTTGATTTTTCAATTTTTTCCTTTTTTTTCCATTGGGTGAATTGACAAATTTGAAGAATACGATTAACTGCTGTAACTGTGGGAAGTTTAGTGAGATAAATCAAACTTCTGTATGTAACTGTGTCCTACAAAAAAACTTTTTTTGAATTTAAACTTTGTTTTAATAGTGTTTTTTCTGATGGTGACACTATTATAACCTAAGAGAGGCTGCAAAAGAATAATTTAATAAATAATTTTTAATCTACAATTTTATCATTATCATGAAAATACCAAATTTTTACATTTTACATTTTAACTAGGACAATCACCTTTTCCTAGTTGCCCTATATTTTGGTTTAAACAGAGATAAGATTATAAAAGTGGTGATTATTTAAAATAGTTCTGTGCATACATAATGGTTAGATAGGACTTTTTGTAATGCAGACACTAGCACACACTATATTTAATTTTGCACACATGCAAGTGCTTTACATACAGTAAGTGCATTTCTGTTAGCTGATTAATAGACATAGTTTGTAGCAACTACCCTTCTGTGACTTAGTCATTATAAATATTTATCAATATTTTTATACATATTTTTTCATGTTATCTTTGTTTACAAGCCACTACCTGTCTCAGAACAGATTTTGAACCAAAAGGAGAGAATAAATTTTCCTACAAATGCTGATTTTCGTCTGTGACAGCCCAAAATCGTAGTCTATAGTGGCTGTAAATCAGAAAAATTACATTTTTAAACTTGGTAATACCACTACTCAGGTAAAGTCCAAACTTGTTAACAAAAATAGTCCATCAATATACAATATATCAATAACTTGGTTATCTCAAGTATTAGCATTTTAGTAGCTGTAAAATACTATAAGAAGTTGCATAATATTTCATGCTTCTCTCTCTTCATACACCCTCAGAAGGTCTCAAATATTACATATCTGTCAGAAAGAAATGCACCCTGAACACACAATACACCAAGTATTCAAGTGTTCTACATTAAAGCGTTTTATTTAGATTTAAAAAACACTATTTGAAGGTCCCATCATAGCAAAGATTCTCATTGAGGTATGTTATGCTCATGTGTGAAAACAGAGACATAAACCACCATGAAATTATTTTGGCTTAGCAAACAGAACATAGACTATAGTCCAATATGCCTGACGGTTACGGAGACATAAAGGACCAGGAGCTTAAACATCTTAATAAATGTCCCTATATTGTAATTGAGCATGTAGTAGACACTGGAAGAGTGGATTTTTTTTATTTTTTATTTATTTTTTTGCAGTTTACTTCTGCTTTTATGGTTAAAACCTTGTTAAAAGCCCTCACTAGCAAATTCATAGCATTCAAATTGGGGCCTCATCAAAAGGTTTGGTCTCGCTCTCTATAGTGGCTAAAATATCCACACCAGGCTTTCACTGTCTCCTACTCGCATCTGCAATTAGGCTTATGACACAATACGGTCAATGAACAACCAAAGAACAATGTTTTAATAAGGAGGTAACTGAAAATGACCTCGATGGTAATGTTATTTTTAATCAGTAAGACTAGCTATAATAGTACTGTACTACTACGCTATTTATTAACACCACAAACCGTTTCTTTTCTATATCAAAGTTAATTTATGAAGCTACCAGAAAAGGAGGAAAATGAAACTGATGTATCTGACCACGAGCATAAAATTAAACTTCATAGAATGTGTCCTTACACATGATCGCTCTGCTTTGGCAGCTCGTAAGTTTTATAATCCGCTACGATCTAACAATGTCACATTACCCAATGCTACAACATGGAAAAAAAATCAAGTGATTCGTCATGGTTTTATGTTTTCATGGGTATGAAGTGATTTATGTACAGGAAGCAAGAAATGGGGGCTACAAATTGGCTACGGAACAAATTGACACAGAGCTGTTCAAGTCCTTAAAAAGAAAATGGGATTCAGCAGAACAGAGCGCAGAGAAAAAGCTGAAATCAGTAACATCCCGGGTAGATATGCTCAAGGCTTGTCTGTTTGGAGCACACAGTTGACTTAAAGTTAATTTTATCGATGCAAGGGCAAAAGTTTACTCAAATATCATAGTTAGAGATTTTAATTTGAAGCGTCTGTTTTCTTTTTCTTGACTGTGTGTGAATGTTTTCCATGGCACAGAATGATCCATCCCAATTTGGGGAAATTATTCTCTACCGTTGCCATTACATGCCAATACTTGTCCGCATCAAATATGTAAGATGAAGCACATTTCAGGGAAACAAACATATCGGTGCAGGGATTTCAGAGCATCGTAAAGTGGAAAACGTGGAATCGCTTGGAATTACTTCTGCTCTCCTCCACTTTGCAGCACCAAAATCAGGAAAGAACTCATCCTGCTGGAGGCACATCCATTATCTAAAACATATTTGTATATTACCTTGGTACAGAAAAAAATCTAATAGTTGCATTAATCTGCAGACAGAATGCGTCAGAAAATTGTGCTTGAGTTCCTCTGTAGAACTTCTCTAGTGCTGTGAAAGAGTAATTCGTGTCAACACTAATGTGCAGGTCTGGTCAAACCCCAGCACCGCTCTGGTTACTCAGCGGCCCGGTGTGGCTGCTGGCATTTCAGAAAGAGAGCACTTCAATTTAGTGTTTTGGCAAATGGAACTAGTGCTGAATGTTTTTTTTTTTCCCTATGTTCAATATATCCCACAAAAATATTTAAGAGTGTCAGGTCAAACTGAACCGACATTAAGTGTGTAATTTCCAGATACTTTTAAGGCTGGACATTTTAACACTAATAAAAAAAGAACAAACGTGTTTGGAAATTCATTTTTATATTGCTTCTATGTATTTTTTTTTTACTTTGCCTTACTTTGGGTGATGTTTTCTGGGCTGTGGCTCGTTTTAGATTGTTTCTGTTGCCAGTTTTTTTGGAGTCAAACGTTTCTTAGTTAATGCGTTTGTTGAAATGAAGAGCAATTGTGTCAGGCTTTCTTGGCGTCACCAAACCAGCACATCACATGCCTCATGCTGTTGAATGCCTTTCTTGTGATTTCCAGAGTAAGCCTTGCATGCTTAATATTTGACTCATCTCTATTATCTTAGGGCTTACATTTACTCTGCACTTATATGCAACATTACACAGATAAAATTTTGGATTAAAGAACGTTTCGTGGTTTTGATTTTCTCAGTTTTATATTCAAACAAAAGGCCATCCTTGATATTTATGAGAGCGAAAGATTATTTTTCTTGACAAGGGTGTGGCTTTGTTATTCTGCAGTTGAGGGGGGGGGAAAAGAGGCAACCAAAGACAAAATCATATTCAACATTGATTTGTGATTTGGAAGTCATGTGATCACAGAAACGTCCACTCGCCTTGCTGTAAAAACTCTTCACACATCTGTTGCAGCATGTCTGTGGCAGATATTCCTGTTACTGTGGCTCGAGGTTCATTAAGGGAGGGGCAACATCGACAGGCAGAATGTGGCATTAAGATTTGTCTTTGTGTCCCCCCTCCCCACCCCCTTCCCCCCCTCTCTTCCCCTCCTCTCCAAACACTGTAGCAGAGGAACACATGATTTGGACTGAGAGGACTGACAGCCTTGCCTAGCACCAGGTCACTGATCAGCCATCTCCACCAGCAAGCTGACCCGCTTTTCATCACCAGCCTCACAAGCATTTCATTTAAAAAAAAAAAACATCATCTAACTGTGAGTAATGGCCAGCTTAATTTTTTTTAACTCACATCACTATTTTAATTGTGATATTCACTTTAGTTTACCTAGTGTCATAAGGTTGATTAATAATGTGTTGCATTCTTTTTAATTTTAATAAATTGCATTTTTTTTGTGTGTGTGAATACATTTTAAAAAAGACATTAACCTAAAATTATATATGTCCACATAGGTTTATTTTATATTTAGTTTTAAAGGGAGTGCACATATTTTATTTTGTATTTTTTTTAAACTCATCCAAAAACACCTTCAGTTACAAACAATCCAATACTTGACAAGCTTTACTAAATCAAATCTGCTGCAGCTTTAAATATCACATTTCTACATTTTCTTCTTACTTTATTTGAATATTCTTTTTTTTTTCTTCCTGCTGAGGGAAAAAAGGCACATTAGGTTATCTCTGATCAGCTAGGTCACATATAGTGTATTCAAAGGATAGTTAGGAAATGGCATCATTGTGAACACATGGCTGACAAAAGAGGCCTGTTGTCCTTTTAGCACAGTGCACCACCTAAAGGCGGTTGTAGGTACTTCAGGACAAAAACAACTAAATTTACTTAATAAAATAATCATCTTGATTCTTCTTTACCTGAGACAACTTTAGTTTTTTTGTATCAGGCACAGAGCTAAGAACCAGTAGTGTCATTATGAATAAAAATAATAATTCTGGTGGGTTTATTGGTTACTTTTTTAAATTTATAATTGATTCTGTTATACTAACAAACAGTTTTTTGTTTATTTTTAAAATAGATTTTTGTTTATTTTTTCAGTATATTTCTGTGACGTGTAAAATTAAAAGGCCATCTTGGTGAATGGCACTAAAAGTTAATTTATTAAAGTAATTAAATTCATACATCAAAACTAATCTGCTCTATATACTCATTACACACAGACCGATATGTTTGAAGTGTGTGTCTCGGTTCATTTTGATCACCACTGCAGACAGGCGATCAGTCTATGGCTTTGCTGAGGTGTTAGGAGGTTGCTTTATTATCAGCCCTCATATATTCTGCACTGTTTGGTTCAGTTGATATCATCTTCCTTTTGGAGAAAATGTGATAATTTTTCTGTAAAGCATTTATGCAGTGACACTTAAAACAGATATGTTTGGCAATGTGGCCATCAAGTTCTGCATGAAAATAAATATAGTTTCCCCTAAAGAAGTATCAGCAGAAGGAAGCATGAGAGTAATCATGAAGTGATCTAAAGTATCTTGGTCAGCAGCTGTATTAAAATTGGACCTGATGAAACACCAGAAGATAAAAAGGCTCCCAAAATCTGTTTTCTGGCACCAGAGGTAAGATTCCTCTGGTGTCATCCCTGTTTCAGGAGTAGCCCAACACAAACATATAAAAGTTGTAGCCAATTTCCTGGATTCAGCTGTTTGTAGCAGCTCTAGAAGTTGCGTTTATCCCAGCTGTTTATGTCCTACACTTTTTCCTTCCACTCAACTTTCTATCAATATGCTTAGACGAGACACTCTAGGCAGGCAGCTTCTTTATTTAGGACGCTGATCAGATTATCTTCTGTCATCAACACCTTCCATATGGTTGTGTAAATTTATAACACAAAGTTTTAGAACATATAAATGTCACTTATAAAGCAAATAATAAAGCAAATATTGTTTTGTGTTTTGTAATTTGAGGTACCTGTTAATGGGAAGGTTTTCAGCCAGCTTCGTTCCTCCCTCTTTCCAGGTGTCATCAGTTGCAAGGGGATGACCGAGCGCATTCATAACATCAATCTCCACAACTTCAGCAATTCTGTACTTGAGACCCTCAATGAGCAACGAAACCGCGGGCACTTCTGTGACGTGACCGTTCGGATCCATGGAAGCATGCTGCGAGCTCACCGGTGCGTGCTGGCCGCTGGAAGCCCATTCTTTCAGGACAAGCTGCTCTTGGGCTACAGTGACATCGAGATCCCCTCTGTGGTCTCAGTTCAATCCATCCAGAAGCTGATTGACTTTATGTACAGTGGCATTCTGCGAGTGTCTCAGTCAGAAGCTCTGCAGATCCTTACCGCCGCCAGCATTCTGCAGATAAAGACCGTCATTGATGAGTGCACTCGCATTGTGTCCCAGAACGTGGGCCTTGCTGGTCCAGGGGGGTTCCCGGTGATACCAGGAGATTCTGGCCAGGACACCCCTCGTGGTACACCAGAGTCTGGCACCTCTGGGCCCAGCAGCGATGCGGAGTCAGGCTATATGCAAGTAACATCACAGCAAAGTGTAGATCGTGCATACACATCACTATACTCCTTCCCTGGCCTATCTCTGCAGAATGGCACCCGTGAGCGGTCCCTTTACGCTAATCAACTGTCTGCAAACTATCCGAGTAATCAGAGGGATCAGTCTCAAGATCCAGCCTGGATGAACCGCATCCAGGATCGGTCCCAGCAGGGGGATCGCTTATTTTCCACTGCAGAGTCCACTCACTGCCGAAAGCAACAACGACCGTCACGCATCAGTACAGAAGGGCTGCACATAAAGCAGGAGGCCGAAGATGAGTACACCTGCTGTGACGATATGGGCGACTGCCAGGATGACACTGATCACAATGAGGGTGTGGAGAGCGAATCCAAGGTTGAAAACTTTGACTCAGGGGTGAGCTCTTCCATCAGCACAGAGACGGATACCATGGAGCAGCAGTCATACCTGACAGGCTTCAGTCGAGACGGGGTTGGGGAGGGACAGCAAAACGAAGGTGCCATGGTGCAGATAGAGGTTAGCAACTCGTCCCCGGAGCAAATGCAAAAGACGGAGGATGGGGACACTTCCCACAGCACTAGTGACAGTAGCATGATGCAGCCCCTGCCAAACTCAGTCAAACTCAGCCCCATGTCCCAGTACATGCGCCAGATAGAATCACACACCAGCAACCTGAGGATGGCACCCACCCTGACCAGCAATTCCCAAGTGGGCACTGCTGTAAGCACCTTCCTGCCCACACTCTTCCCCGCACAGCCGTCTAGAGACAACAAGTCTTTCCTGTACCTTCATGGCCAGCAGCAGCCCCAGTTTGTGGCAGTGCCCCCGCCCGCAATGCCATCATTCCCAAACCCCATGTCGGTACCGCAGGCACCATCGCAGCAACAGCAGGCTGCAGGAGGGATGGGTCCAGGGGAGAAGAAGCCCTATGAATGCACTCTCTGCAGTAAAACCTTTACTGCCAAACAGAATTATGTCAAACACATGTTTGTTCATACTGGTAAGTCAAAGTTTCCAACAGAAATGTTAAATGCTTGCTAAAAGGTTAAGTGAGACAAAGGATTAGGGTTAAGTAGGATTTTATTTTTTTTGTCATCATCACAGATTCTTTCAATACCTTAGGTTTTGATTTTAAAAATGAAGCTTAGTTGGACGAACTGTATTTTATTTGCTTGAACCACTATACCAGTTGTTGATATTATCAGCTGTTATTGCTGATATGGATCTCTTTTTTGTTTCACTTCTTCAGGTTTAGTTATGACCAACTTGTTTTGTTTTGCATAGGAAATCCTGGGATTGTGTAACAGACCACACAAGATGAGACAGCACCATGTACTTATTTCTATAGGAATGATAATGAAAAGCGCACCCTGGATACATACAAACATTGAAACAAAGATGATAGGTTTATTATGATTCCTCTATATTAATACCCATCTATTGTTTATTAGAGTTGTACCTATCAATAGTTTTGTGGCTTATTTACTTTATCTTTGGATTTCCTAAAGCTTTGATCTGCCGTTCCCGATTTCAGCAGTTTTAAATCTTTCTACTTAGCTATACTTTGTTTATTTCTTTCCTGCATTGTGGAGTCAGGTAGTTATATGAGGGGCTGAAACGATTGTTCGGACTAATTGATTATTAAAATAATTGTCAACAAATTTAGTAATCGATTAATTGTTAACTGGAGTAAAGAGAATCTAAAACATGCATTTTGCTGACAGAGCTACCCACTTAGACCATTAAAAAGATACACACATTTTTTGCATGCAAGATATAAAAAGAAAAAATAAGTTTTATCCTTAAATATGCTCTATCAAGAACTCCTCAAGTGGGAAGGTTTTAGTTTCACCTGGTTTAAATTCTACAAAAAAACTTCTTTAATGAACGTTTTTCTATTCCAATTATTAATCAATTAAAATAAAAAACAGATTAATGGATTAGCAAAACTATCATTAGTTGCAGCCTACTCCATATTAGTAGAAACACTACAGCGCCCAATGTAGAGTCATGGTTACGCTGTTCCCTTTAACAATGAAATAATTAGCTTTTATTCATATTTTTATTTCAGTTAGATTTTCACAGTGATATTAAGTTTTGAATAGATTCCTTGGAACATTTTGAAGCATTCTGACTGTCAAGAATATTTCACAATATCACATTCTTTTCATTTGAAAGCATAAAATAATATTCTTTTCCAGCTTTATGGTCAAATATGTGTTAAAATATTAGAAGAAAACATGATGTTTTTAATCATCTAATTAGCAATTAGCCTGGTTAGCATGATTAACTGTAAAGAGCTTAGCTCTGAGACATTTCCACATACAGCACATCTCATGAGGTTGGAGGATAAAAATAAAACAGGCCAACATTTCTATACTAAGTTCAGCCTTGTTTTTGAAAGTTGACTCAAATTAGAATTAACAAGCACACCTCTAAAGTACATTACTTCCTGTTTAATACAATTTAGTGAAAGTAACACCTTTCTGCTGAACCCCACTTTAACAAAATCCAGACTATGACTAAATAAAAAATACTGAATAAATATTGTACTAACTGTACAAGTCGAATTACTTCAATAATATTATGAAATTATACATATTTACTATATAGACTAAACTAGACTGATTAAAATAGTCTGAAATTAGGTTAATTTGAAAACAGCTGAAAATAAGTCTTTGTGTTTTTTTAAAGGCGCCCGGTCACATACTATGACATTACCTGTCAATATGGCAGCGGCTCACTCAAGTTGCATAAAAAGCTTTCCGTATTTAATTATAGTGCCCTGTTGGTTTCTTATAGTTTTTCTTTATTTAACAGTTTGTTTCTGCTCTATTTGTTTGTAAGCAAAGCGCTTTGTATATATTCACCATAAAATAATTCCACAGGTACAATATTGCATATTTGTGAAATCAGCAAGTATATCTAAGAATATCTTAGAATATCTAAGATCAAGTTGGAAAAAGTACAAAAAAAAAAAACAGATCCCAGAAGGGATGAACTACAAGTCATGCTTGCAATATAACATGTATGTTTGTGTTCACTGAGGAGGGAGCTGACGCTCTGGAAGATACAGATGCCTGATAAAAAGCCCAATCTAACGCTCCAAGTTCTTGTGATTGAAACATATTTAGGTTATACACTGGAAAAAATGATCTACGAATAAATAAAAAATGACTCAAATTAAGTGTTTTCACCCATAATTTGAGTAGGTAAATGAGATAGTTTGGCAATGGAATTAGTATTTTTAATCTTAAAATAAGATAATTAGATAGGATGCACTTGAAATAAGACAATGCAGTTGTGTTTTCTTATTTTAAATGTAAATTGTCTTGTTCCATTGGCAAAATGTGTATTTTACTTTCTTAAGCCAACAAATACACTTATTTTAAGAAAAAATTACTTATCTACTATTATATTACTTATTTTGATTTCTTCTAGTGTATAAAACATATGATATTAACAGTTGTTTGAGTTTCGAATTTGGTTATATAAGCTGATAGCAGATGATGTGCAACAATGTTTGTGTCTGCGAATCACGTCTGCTGCAAAAATTCTTTACAAAAAGGACTAAGTAAACACTTTCAAGATGCTTAGTGTATTGAGTGATTTGAAGATAAATACATATACTATGTTTTCCCTATAGTTGTATTATGTGACTTGGCCCCTTTAAGCAATGCCAACCTCATCATTTAGCTCCTGCGGAAATCATCCTGACAAAAGAAAAGAATCAAATATCATATAATTAGATGGTCCCATAAAATAACCAGATTCAAACAACCATTATTATTCATTACAATCCATTTCCTGGCCAGAAGTACTTGATATATATGGGATACTGACAGAGCAGTGTTAGACAGAGATAATAAATCTTTCACACTGTCTGTAGACCGCATCCTTCAGTGAAATAAAAGTTTAAACAAAATGAACACAGAATTAGTTCATTTTAGCTTAAGGTATGTACTTACAAGATAGCATTTGAGGTTTCTGCACACAATCCAGCTACATGATCCATATGAAAAGTCTGCTGGCTGTGTTTCAGGAAAATTAAGGGTCACAAAATGGACTTGACTCTCTTCCAAATCAATTATTTGCTCATTTTTTTGCCTTTAATATCTCACTATATGCTTTCAGAGAGCCTAATAAACACTCTGCACAATGAGGAAGCTGAAATCTTTCATTAAAAATGGCCGCACCACACAGATTTTGACATTTCAGTCAAAGCCCTCATCAAGTTGGCTGTTTACACGATGAACAGATGGAGCTAAATTAGCTTTAGAAACGGAGATGGGAATAGAATGAGGAGGTTAAGATTTGCACGGTTTTCCCAGGAGTGATGCAAATAGTACAGTTTTTTTTTTTTTTGCTAAAACATAATTTTAGCATAAGATTGAGAGTACAGTTGGACACATGGCAATGGAACTACTCAAATGCAACTGTTCAGACACTGCAAATGAGTGTTCCTGTCTAATGTGTAAACCATATTGTTTTTCGGGGGGGTTTCAATCCCTTAATGCTTTTGTATTGTCTGCACTTCCAGGTGAGAAGCCTCATCAGTGCAGCATCTGCTGGCGCTCGTTTTCCCTGAAGGATTACTTAATTAAACATATGGTGACACACACAGGGGTGCGGGCCTACCAATGCAGCATCTGCAACAAGCGTTTTACCCAGAAGAGCTCGCTGAACGTCCACATGCGGCTGCACCGTGGAGAGAAGTCCTATGAGTGCTACATCTGCAAAAAGAAGTTCTCACACAAGACCCTGCTGGAGCGCCACATGGCCCTACACAGCAATGCCAGTGCCATCACTGGTCTGTCTGTGAGTGCAGGCAGCGCGGGTCCTGTCTCCATCCCCATGCCGATTGCTGTCCCCGAGCCCGGAGCTGGAGTTGTGGCCCTCGCCATGCCAGTGAGCGGCGGCGCCGGAGTAGGGGCTGGGGTTGGAACGGGAGTGGGTGTAGCTGCTGAAGCAAGCTGCCAAGAAGGGACCACCTACGTGTGCTCCGTCTGCCCTGCCAAGTTCGACCAAATGGAGCTCTTCAATGACCACATGCGAATGCATGTCTCCGATGGATAAGTACAAATTTGAAAAAAAGAAACTTCTTTCTGAAAGAATGACAAATACAATGGCACTAGAATTTCCTTTTCTTATTTTGAGGTATGAAGAGTAATGAGTATAGACACTGGCACATTAAGTTTCCCCAAAAAAATTTTACTTTTTTTTTTTTTCCTGTTATTCTAAAAGAAAAAAAAAGATGGTGGCCTTAAGGCTCAGTAGTTTGATGATGATCTACTGGATGGATCCAAACTACGGGCCTCTAAATGTATGCTTTCCTAAAATACTGATTTATGTGTTGAACACTACCGAAAGGCCTACGAAAGAAACACATACACACAAACACACCTTTAGTCTAGATATGTCTGAATGACTTTAAATGAGCAAATATGTTCGAACGTCTGTGTTTTTTTGCATACATGTTGGTCTCTTTATTTGTCCAATTGTGTCTGTGTGTGCGTATGTATTGCCGTGACACAAAAATCATGGCAGTGGTGAATCCATATTGACCAGTTTGGAAACATAGATGTCCAAGCTTACTGTGGTATAATTTACAACGATAACAGTAAAAAAAAAAAGACAAAAAAACTGAAAAAAAGTATATATATCTGGGGTTGGGCTACATATTCCCTCTAAAATACTGATGGTCACAAGATTGCCTTCTTATATCAAAAAAAAATGCAGAGTACTTAATTTGACACTGGGTTTTATTTATTCCTGTGGTTTAAGGGATTATAATGCAGCTGTTGTCAAGGTACCGATTTTAGTCATCTTACATAATAGTAACTTCCTGTCAAAGGTGATGGGGGGGAAACTTATTATTTCTCACCTGTTTAACGATTATTGTCCATGAATTTTGACGGTCAAGATAACGTTTACTAAATTAATGTGTGTGGATCAGACAGTATTTTAGCAAAAAGACGTTTCCTTTTTTTCCTGGAGTTTGGAGTTTATCTCATTTGCATACACTGCCTTTTTAATATCCTAAAAGACTGTTAAGGCTACTTAAGATTTCTTCCACTGCAAAACAAACAAAAAAAAATGGAAGATTCTTGTGCTGATGGTTGTTTTTTCTTTTCAGCCTTTTTCACAGTTAAGGCAGGCTGGAATATGGGACTAAACTCTCTCCTTCATAATTGCTGCTCCTCAACCTGCACCCGACTGTTATGGGATATAGATTTAGAGGGGGAAAAAAAAGGAATTGTCACTTCAACTATTGTTGTTATCGAGTAGCCTGTTTGGTTTTAATCTCATAATTGAATTACAGTTTCGTGGGGAGGGGGTCAGCCAGTTCCTGATTGGATCGGCGTTGTAAAAGATGGTGTAAATTAATTTTGAGTCAGACTAAAAAGCAAAATAATTGCCGTCCTGATCCTAGAACGCCTGTGTAACCTGTTCATTACGATTGTGGAGCTGTTTCAGCAGGTGGGAGAGCTGAGTGCATTACTCTTCGTGCATTCTCTCTCTCTCTCTCCCTGAAGGCTCAAATGGCATGCAACGTTTTGAAAGGAAATACAGTCTGAAAGCAAAACAAGTAGCTTCCATCAATCGATAGCACGCTGTTTCATGATATACCACAAGCTGCAGATGGACTGTGTGGAAAAACAGCATACATTCCCAATTTTCTCTTACACCAAGACACAGTATGTGTAGACTAGATGTGGAAGCTTGTGTGTTCATGTCGTCATTCTTGCATTGTGCTACTTAAGGCTGATTTCAGATAGTTTTTTCATTCTTTTGTATTTGATTTTCTATCCAAAATAGGTCTCTCTCACACACACACGAACAGAGAAACACATGCACACGTGCAACTGCAGCCTAAAGGATTTGCTTCTTTAAGCGAGCAAACACTTTTGGTAGTTGTACGATAAAGCGAATAACTAACTGCATTCAGGAGGTCTTCAAAAGACCTTCTGTCAGTTCAGAAAAAAAGTGCTGTTTTGCACATTTTCTTAAAATGCCTGTGCTTAATATTTAATTGTTTTTCTTTAATAAAATTTCTTTTTCTCAATTTTAAAGGAAAAAAAATGTTTTGTTTAATTTTGATAAGTGGACTGCATTATCTTCTTGCATATATGTTGCACTGCTTAAACCAATAAGTGCACTACTGTTAACAGAGATATAGTTTTAGAAAAAAAAATCTTTCTTCTTTCTTTTTTTTTTTTTTAAGAGTTCACCTGAATAGCGGTGTTTCAAGTTTTTCATTTTGTAAATTTCGCAATTCTCTGCTTTTGTTATCGCTTGCTGTTACCTTCAGTATACTCTGGTTCCGCGTTAATGCAAGCATTTATTTTATTTAACCATCGTGTGTGCTCGTCTACGTTTAAACCTTTGAAATATTCTATCGTCTCAGTTCCCTTAAAGGTTTTATTATTTCTTTTGGTTTTGGTTTTTTTTAACAGTGCAGAATTTTCCTATGAGATCGTTCAAAGCCAAACATCATTGACAGTGAAACAACAGTAATAATAAAGAACCTCCCGTCCAAGTATGCCGGCGGAAGTAATATTATATTATTAATAATACACTTATATGTGTGTATGTGTGTAAATGATGTGTGTCTCCAGGAAAAAAAAACTTTCTGTTGTGATGGAGTAGAGCTTCTTTGATATCAGTCCGTCACTTGTGCGCAGTCGTGTTCCTTTCCTTTCGGTGTTTGTGTGTCCGTGAGCGTCTGTATGCGGTAAATAGCCTAATCAAATTGTTGATAAGTGGAATATCTCAACTGTAGGGCTTCCTTTGCAATATGCAGCGCAGGTACTATAAAAAAAAACACACACACAGCTCTCCAAACCTTTTTGGGCTAATAGGACGCCTGTAACAATTCCTTAGCTTAGGTCAGCTGGCACACATCTGGTTCCGGTTCAACTTGATAGATATCAGAAGAAAGGAATCACTCTTATGTGAAACAGATCTTTGAAAGTGTGAGGTCTGTCCTCAGTAAAAGTAGCACGTTATTGAACAATTGATTGGGCCTGTCTCTATGGTGTGAATAAAAGCCTATGAATTCTGTGGTTCCTATCCATAGCTGTTGTTGCCAGTTTGGCAAATTGCTGCATGCTAGTGCTATATTTGTCTCTACACAGCACGTGGAGGGTTAAATCTCATGCCTTAACAGACAATGCACTAATTAGAAATATGTTAGCAACTGCCGAGATCTCTTTCCAACAGTATTGCCACCTGTATGGCACAGCGCAGCTCGTGATGTTTGTCGTCCATTGAAGATCCAAACACTGCCAAACCTACATCATCCCTTTTTCCAGGAAAAAGAGTGAAAAGGCAGAGAAAGCAAGATGAACTGTGGGATTATTTCAGCGATCTAGAATTCCTTCAATTTTTTGACATACATGTTTTTATGTGAACACGTGTATCAAATGCACTTTTGACTGTAGCTAGACGAGTACAACCAGCCTTGTGGTGTCGTTGGCCTGATAGTTGTAGCTTGGTGTTGGTTTCTTTAAATGTTTGGTTTCACGATTACACTATCAGTTATTTCACAGTCGCTTCTCTTTTTCCTTTCTATTCATTTTGTTTTGGGAATTTTAAAAGTAGCCAATCTTCATTTGATCTGGCTGAGGGCTAGAACTCGTCCCATCGGTGATTGACTTCTTGTATCATAAGGTGTTTAATAGGAGACTAGGTTTGAAAGGGGAAGAACCTTTTGCTCCAGTGTGTCATAATGTGCTATAGACTCCCCCCCCATACCCAACCCCCAGTCCATATCCCCTTCCCGTTGCATTAGCATCACATGTCCTTCACTGTCCATAGTTATATACTCCTTAGATTACTTCGGCTAATCGTGGTGGTGCTTAATTCTTCTCTCTCGGTTGCAAAAAAGAAGTTACATATAGTTCCTTGCAAAAGTTTTTATTCCCTTTAAACTTTTTAATAGTTTGTCACATTATAATCACCACCTTAAAGTATTTCACTGGGATTTTACAGGAGACCAACAGAAAGCAGTGCAAAACGGGCAAAGTAAAGGAAGAAAACCTATGCGTGGTTTACAGAATTTATTATAAATAAAAATCAATACATTTGGTTAGAATTAGGATGGTATTTAATCTATGTTCTATGGTTGTAGAGACAAATTTTGATCATATTAATGGTTCAAAAGTTAGTTTGGGTTTTTTAAACTTTTATTTTCTTCCCCTCGTTCATTCCTTTAGAGCATCGGTGAAAATCTGTTAAAATTAAATATGAGTAAATGCAGTTATCTGCTTTTTTTATGATAAAGCTGCATCACTATTTAAGTATTATGAAAAACAATGTTTTTTGTGGCTATACCCTACCCCTCGCTAGCCCTACAACTAATTTTTAAAGTGAAGTCAAAATGTAAATTTATGTTTGAATACTTTTTTTTTTATAATATTCAATATAAAAATCTTTTACCTCCAATTTAAAAAAGCTTCACAGCTTTTGAAAATGATTTGTGCGTTCCCTCAGATCTGCTGAAATGTGTAGCATTACTGCTGAATATAAATATACACTACAGTGTATACATGTTATATATATATATATATATATATATATATATATATATATATATATTACACGCCACAGATATTTGCAAAAACAATTTTGAAAACCTTGTTTTTTTTCCCCTTTGCTTCACAGTTTTGCACTTACTTTTTATTCTAATATCACTTAGACCATCCTCCCAAAAAATACATGCAAGTTTCCCATTATGATGTGAAAGAAACTTTGAAATTTAAAGGGTAATAAACACTCTGCAAGGTGCTTTAGAAGTGGTTGCAACATTATCCTAAAATGAAATTCTTTTTTACTCAATCGTGCTTCTTAGAGTTGTAGATCTAGACCTTTCTGTTGCAACATTTTTGCATATTCTCCGCAACAACAAAAAAATATTTAAAAAAAACTAATGGAAAAATAGATGATAGCCTTGAGCCTGCAGCCGTTTGTGTTGTGTTTGAAATATATTCCTGTTTGTTTCGTTTATATTAGCGTAGAGACACAGGGTCTACAGTACATTGTTGTCCTTGCAGTAAGTTTAAAATTTCATTGTTAAAGTTGATTCTTTCAGAACTCTTCCTGCTTCTCTGGTGGTCATTGTGGTGTTGTTCAAAGCATTTTGCGCGGCTGGATTAAAGGAGTAGTGGGCTTTTTTTCTACCGTGTATTTATATATCTGTTTATGCTTTGCATTGAGGTGAAAGATGGATTGGTTGACGTGTGGATGGAACAGGGTCATTTTAGTCTGAAAAGCATAGGTCCGTCTTACAGTCTGTCTTAACATTTTAAAGTCAGATTCTATTTTTATTCAGGCAAACAAAACAATTCAAAGTAGACTAAAAGAAACACCACTCAGCCAGTAGTAAACTGCATGTTGTCCTTCCAATACATATAAGAGTAAAATGGTTACAAATATGCTATATATATTTTGAGTATTGCCATCTCCGTGCAGATAAAGAATACATTTTTCAGATAGTTTGATACAAAAGAAAAAAAAATCTTTCCTGCAGCTAGAGTATTACTGTACCTTGTGGGATATAGGGAGTATGCCTCTCAAGTGCCTACCAGAACATGCAGCAACTATACAGAATATTCATAGTTTTTCTCTCCTGCATTGCACAAATACAGTATATACGCTATTAAGAATATACTATTTATACTAGTACAGCTGAAAACCTAGTGCTTGTGAGTGCAGCAAATGAGAACCCTTTAAAAAAAATACCTGAAATGTTTTATTCATATACAGTAAAAGCTACATCTGCAAGTTTTTGTTTGATTTGCGTGTTATGTTTGTACCATCTGGAGGATTTGAAGATTTAAAATGCAATCATGTTCGTTTTAATTAAATGAAGTAGGGTTTGATTTGAGCTCAAAAAGCTCCGCTTAGTTATTTTCCTCATTTGTTAGTTGTTAAATTCTTTTCTTTAGTTCACAGTATTTGCCATTTGCAAACAAGCCATATACTGGAATGTACTGTACGAGTGGGCAAACGGGCAATCTTATTGTGTGAGCAGCAGGGGGAGACACACATCAGCTGGACGCAGGAAAGTTTACACACCTGCCCGTTAGAGTGAAAAAAATCGAGGTTTAATCCTTCGATATTTTCATATCGCCCTGTTGGTAAATAATGCCATTTTGCGAGATTATAACAGCATCTGAGAGCAGTCGTGGCTCAAACTTGAGCTTTTTTCTTAATGAATGTGATGGTTTGCAATCTGTACGGTCTGGAAGCTGCTTTTAGTCCAGTAGTTGGTTTTAAAGTCCAGAGCTTTGATTTTTTAAAAAGCACCAATGAATGCAAACCAAAGCCCAATTTACTCACAGTGATCCTTATAGGTTTTATTGTATTTTACAGTCTAGCTTATGTTTAATCTAGACCTATAAATGTCTAGCAATGAGCATTGTAGAGAAGAGAATGTTGGCATTAAGTGCTTTATTGGCTTAATTTTAGAACCACAGTTTAGAGACAAAAGGAACATTTTCCATTTTGGCTTTAACATATTTTAGCCGAGCAACTTCTTAGCTTGCTTTGATGAGCAAAATGGAAACAAAAACAGAAAGAAAGTATAGAAAAATAAAAAAAACAACACAAATCAGGTTACAAAACTGAGCTGCTGCGAGATGAAAAGGTTTCAGGATGGCTTATTATTCCGTCCCCTGTGGACTAATTACCACAGTTTTCTCTCCAACCTTCTCCAACTTGGTTGCCGTGCCAATTTCTGGAAGGGGTGCACTTTTAAATTATACCACTATTCTTAAATCAGAAGTGAGAAACAGAAAAATAGAATTAATCTAAAGTGAGAACTGAGCGTGAACAGGAAATGCAAAGCATGTGATTGCTGTCATTTTGAATCTTTAAATCCTCCATAATGCATCTTTTTGAAGTAAATAGGAGAAAAGAGCTATGATTAAAGAGATGGTTCATAATTTTTGAAGTGAACCTTTGATTCATGCTAATATCATGTCTGCATGAGATTACTCCCATAATGTCTTTGTTTAAAAACAAATCTGTATCAGTTGGTACTGAAGCTAACGCTAATGGCTAGTCTGAGTGGGGCCGAGATGAAATCCTGTTTTTGAGTATTTCAAACCTACATCTTTACACCACCCTAGTGGCTTATAAAGAAGCTGCCTTGAGTCCTAAAAGCCCATGACGCATAATCATTATTTACACAGGAAAAGAGAGGCTGGAGGTGGTGCACTGAGAATACATTCCTATCTGAAACATGGACTTAGTGGGAATGATTTTATTGTTTATGATCCGAGTAACTGCCTTGTACTAAGGTCATTTTAAAAAATTATTGAAACTATTAAAAAGATTTTATTGATATATGTTTTATCTGGCTTTTTTCCACCCTCAAAACCACATAAGACAATCATTGGCGCTGCCTCCGATTCCATTTCCCCTTTTTTTTTTTTTTTTTTTTTTTAAATATTCACTTAAAATTTTAAATAGGTGGAAATGTATTGCTTCAAAAAAAAAAAAAAAAAAACATAGCATTCTTTTTCGTCCCAGTCTGAAGATGGTAAAAGCCCCTTTTGGCTGGAGCCCTTCTTAGACTCGCCATTAAGTTTTCCTTCAAAACCAAGTAGTCTGGATTTATTTTAAACAAAGATGTCAATAGAGTAACTGCAGTTTAGATATAAACTGTTTTTCACCATTCAACAGAGCATCTCTCCAATATTATGAAATGTCCCTTTAACAAGAAACATACTTTGTTTCATAGCATATAGGCAATGTTGTGTAGGTAGTCCCTGTCATCTAATCGTTACTTCTCAGAAACAGTGTCTGTTCAGGTTTTTACAAATATCCAGATTCTGTTTTGACTTTGAGCTTTACAACACAGCGGAGAAAAAAAGCAGATTATAAAATATAAGACAGCGATACTAAGCTATTACAAAAACTACTTTATATTCACTATCATCGTGCAGTTATTATGCTTCCCCTTTTTTCCTCCTCCGATAATCATGGCGGATCACCCCTATCTTTTTGCAGAGCGCAACCTTTTTTTTTTTTTTTTTTTACTTTTTTGTCACGGTGATGTGGAGACTCGGTCATGTTTGAGCCTCTAAAGACTCGACTCAGAGGCTTTTTTTGTGTTCTCAGTCACTGTGGCCTTTAAATAGCGGAGTTCAGCTGGATGAGACAATTAAGTTTTGAAGCGAGCAGCAGCGTAACTAAAAACATGCATTCCTGTCCTCAGTCCAGCACATTCCACCTCCGAGTCTGGCATTTGTTTTCTGCTCTTAAACCACCTGATATCACACATCTTTAACTGAAAATCTGTTGCATATTTACATGAGAATAATTCTAATACCACTTGAGTAAAATGTCCATTTCCCTTACTCTAACTCCCTTTTTCCTTTATTCAAATTTCCCCATGTGATCCCGTGACCTCCTAAGCTCTGAGCACAGTTTCTACTTGTGCAGACTGGTTTTATAGGCAGCGTGCACCGGGCTACTTCTCTGACTCACATGGATGTCTGGATCACATTTTTACTTAGCAGACGCACAAGTTAAAAAGAATTGAATTGCAAAAAGAGAAGTCGAGATTCTTGACGCTGCTGCGGTCTCTGCCAACATGGCAGGCTTTGATTTGTGACTTTCAACACAGTCATAAAAGTTGTGAGAGTTTTCAAATTATTAGGAGATACTGAATTTTTTTTTTTATTTCTTACAATTTTATTTTTCATATACCAAAGAAGGGTTAAGATAACTTCAGTTTTTGGAGAAATGACCTTTTCTACGTGACCAGGATTCCTGCAATCAAGCTCGGTTACTTTAGTTTTCTGTTTTCTATCTTTTCCTCCTCTTGGCAGGGTGCTTGTGAAACTGTGTGTACGCTTTGTCACTTGATTGGTTGTTAGGTTTGTGGTTTGTATTCAATTGCTTATTGTAGACCAAAATAGATTTTTTTTAAAACAACAAAATGCAACAAAACGTAAAAATGAACCCGACACAGTAGCTGTGATGTAAACATGTCATGTTGAAACGTGTCAGATTGTAAATGTTGCATCGTTGCTTGGGCAAAACGCATTATTCAATATCCGTTTGTTTCCTACACACACACACACACTTTTTTGCAAACAATTTTTTTCCTCCTTCGCTTGGGATAATTGTAGATTACCATGTCTGATATTTTATTGCATTTTTGTAGTAGATTTCTTCTTCTAAGGCTGTCCCTAAAATACTAATCTGACAATGTGGATTAGAATAGATCAACCATGGATACTTGAGATGGACCAAGATGTTAATTTTGCACATATTTGTAGGTTGTTTATTTAAGCCAAATATGAAAGAAAAAAAAAGATTCACATCTTTCAATCTCAGCCTTTCAGAAAAAGTTCAATTTAGTCAAGGTAAGAAAACTAAATCATCCCCTGGCAACATGTGAACAAAAAACTACACTGAAACCAAATTAAACGA